AGGCGGGTCTCGAACGCGCGGGCTCAGGCAATCCACTCACCTCAGCCTCCCAAAGGCGCAAGATTACAGGCTGAGCCACCTAGTCTGGCTTTGTCTTTTGGTCTTAAACCCCTGGGCTCAGACAATCCTTTTGCCTTTGCCTCCCAAAGTGTTGGGATTAGAGGCGTGAGCCACTGCACCCAGCAGAAGTCAACCCTTTAGATAGTATTTGTTTATCTCCCCAACCCAAAACTCCACTTTCTAGGGTCCATTTGGTTTCCACTTACAGTTTCTGCATACCCTGTCCATAAGTGACTCATCAAATACCCACATTTTATTCCTGGCTCTGTCCATTAGGGGGCCTTTGTTCTGGAGCTGTTTCCTCAATGTGGAAAAACTTAGGCTGGTAAATTTAGGTAGGAGGGGATGGACATGGCAGGTGTAATAAGGCAGGCCAAGATAAGACTTTCCTAACAATTATATAAATGATGCTTTAACAATAGCTTGCTTTGATGTAGAACAGTCACATGGACCATACATGGGCTAGGAAGTCTGATCCACTCCACCAGGCCAGCATGTGCTGCAGTGTGTTGACCAGGCTTTCTCTTCCCCTATTGGTAACAGTGAAGCCTGCAAAAAAGTTCTGCCATCCTTGTGAGCTTGGCTAAATTCCAGTCATCTTATTTTGAGTCAGTGTCTCACTGTCATCCAGGCTGTAGTGCAATGGCACATTTACAGTTCACTGTAGTCTTGACCTGGGCTCAGGCAGTCCTTCCACTTTATCTTTCTGAGTAACTGGGACTACAGGCACGTGCCACCATGCCTGACTGGTTTATAGGGACAAGGTCTCACTATGTTGCCCAGGCTGGTCTAGAACTAGGCTCAAGGGATCCTGTGTGGCTTCCCAACGTGATGGGATTATAGGTATGAGTCACTACCCAGTCCCCGTTACTTTATTTTAGTGGCAGTGGATCTGTTTTCTCTTTTTGAGTTGGAGTCTCACCCTGTGGCCCAGGCAGGTCTAGAACTAGAGTCAAGGGTTCTTCCCAAAGTCATGGGATTATAGGTATAAGCCACTGCCCAGTCCCAGTTACCTTATTTTAATGGCAGTGGATTTCTTTTTTTTTTTTAGTTGGATTCTCACTCTGTCCCAGGGTGAAGTATAGTGTCATGCCCATAGCCACTGCAGCCACAACCTGCTGGGCTTAGATGCTCCTTCCGCCTCAGCCTTCCAAGTAGCTGGAATTACAGACACACGCCACAATACCCAACTAATTTTTTGTGATTTATTGTAGAGACGAAGTCTCACCAAGTTATCCAAGCTGGTCTCTAACCCCTGGACTCAGGCAATCCTCTGTCTCGGCCTCCCAAAGTGCTGGGATTACAGGCTGAGCCACCACACCCGGCCTGTTTTCTCTTAAACTAGAAATTTTAATTACTTGTATTCCTTTTTTTCTTCTCCCAGCTCCAGATCATCCCGTATATTTCCAGTGAGCAGATTTGTATTTCTCATGTCTTCCCTTCCCTTAAGATTCTAAATTCTTCAGACCTTGAAAATACGTTCTCTCAAGAACTGGGAAGCAAAGAATATCAGATCCACAAGAAGAGTAAATACTCAGGAGTGAGTGAAGCTGCTTGTTCTTTACTTGGAAATAAAAGCAAAGCTCTGAAAAGCCAGGTCACTATGATTTGGTCAGTAGTAGGACTAGCCACAGTATAAGGAAGTTTTGGGGCCACGCCCTAGATTTTCCCAGAATGTCTTAGGCAATGCCATTCAAGAACAAGAACTCCCCCTTAGATCTTCCATCAGTTGTAGGCGTGGCTTCTGCGATTGTCCATGACAATGAGGTGTTACAGCTTCTAACAGTAGGAATTTCCACCTCACTGGCAACTTCCTGGAGGCAGCATTATTTTTGGCGGGAAACCATCTCTTCTGTCACCTTGGCCATGAGGGCATGCTCTAGACCCTGAATTCATAACAATCCACCCTTCTTCCCTGTAGTCCTTCCCTCCCCAGGAGGGAAGGACGGAGGGGGCATATCTTAGGTCCATTTGTCCTCTGCTGTGTCCACCTGTGGACTGGAGCTGTGTCATCTGATGCCGGACATTAGGTCTGCATGCCAGCCTGGCACCCTGGACACCGGAAGTCAGCCTCCCTGGCAGCCTGGATGCTGCAGCCAACACAGGCCACGTGGAACCAAACGTCACACCCATCACACTGAACCCAGGCCACTGTCTCTTCTTGAGGCAGGCAGCAACAAGGAGCTGCACAGAGTTCCCCACCTCCAATTGCGTGGGGAGCCAGGGGAGCACTCACTGGGTGCTTCCGAGGACGGCCGCGGCGATTTCTGAAGGAAGTGACAAACACAAGGGTCACTGGAAACCTGTAGAAGGCCTAGACCTTACCTCTATATAACCATAGGGTAAGCCTAGATAGACTTACTGGGCTAATGTGAGCCTGAAATCTATCCTTAAAAACATGTAGGGCTGGGTAGTGTAGCTCATGCCTAGAAACCCAGCACTTTGGGAGATGGAGTTGAGAGGATTGCCTGAGCCCAGGGGTTCGAGACCAGCCTGAGCAACTGGGCGAGACCTCATCTCTACAATAAATCAAAAAATTAGCCAGGCATGGTGGCACTCACCTGTGGTTCCAGCTACTTGAAAGGATTGCTTGAGCCCAGCAGGTCAAGGCTGCAGTGGCCAGGAGGGAGCATGCCACTGCACTCCAGCCTGGGCAACAGAGTGAGACTCCAACTAAAAAAACAAAAAAACACCACAAAAACATGCAGGGTGGGCCTAGGAACTAGTCCCTGAAAACACTAGAGTGAAAACATTAGAGTGTTTTCAGGGACTGGAAGTTCCTCATCCTTAGGCAGTAGAAGAATAGAATGAAAGTCATATGAATGTCAAAGGACCTCCATGTCTACTGACCTGCCCCCCTCCAGTGCTATAACAATTGCCCCATACCCCACCTAACTCATTTTCTCCTATATGTATTTTTTCTTTTCCTATCAGAGCTAACCCAAGTCTTGCCATTCCAGCATCTGTTCCACCTCTGTCCACCTCCCATGCCTGTTCTCCCCTCCTCACACCCTGGGAATATAAGGAATCAAAAGGTAGTACAAGAGGGAAGGCCAGGTGAGGACTCTCCACTTACCCACTGGGTGTCAGTGGGGCTTTCTCTATACGGAGTTTCTTCCTGGGCTCCATAAGGACTGGTGGGGGGCTCTCGGGAGCCTCACTCTCGTCATCCAGCTCTGCCAACACTCGGTGAACAGATTTCCTCCGATTTCGTGGTGCTGGGGCAGAAGGGGTGGGCTCCACTTCTGCAGGTGGGGTGGGAACAGGTGGGCTCTTTGGCCCACCCCCACTCCGGGAGAAGGTGAGGGGTTGGGGCCGGAGCTTGCTGAGGCTGCCGATGGAGTTGAGGATCAGCGTGGCCTTCGGGGCAGGGGAGAGGGTGCTGAGAGGCCGCTGTGGAGCCCCCTGGGAGGGCAGCATGGGCCGGAAACCAGCTCCAGCCCCAGCTTCCCCTCGCGACCGTGGGATGGTAATGGCAGCAAAGTCCTGAGGTTTGACTCGGACTTGTTGGAACATGAAGTAGAACTCTGAGTGGCTGGTTCCTGGGGGCCCTTCAGAGCCAAAGATCAGGAGGTCTCCGTCACTCAACTCCAGCCTGTGACCTCTTGGGAGTCGGACGTTATTGACCAAAGTCCCTGTTGATGGTGGGGCACCAAACAGATACAGAGGACAAAAACAGAAATGACCAGAGTCAAGAATGGAGAAATCTAGCTCTGATTTCTGGGGAAAATGGGGATGAACATGACACCCTCATCAAATTGTCCCTCACATCCTAAGCTGCACAGCAGGTGATAAATGCCAGGTAGTAGGCTGTCAGCTGGGAACAAGTTTATTTTTCTTGTGCTTTCCTACAAAGTACTCCTTCCCTCATTTTCCTGAGCCATGCTCATTCTCGCCCAGTTCCAACTCAACAGTTAAGACTGGTTCAATCCTGGCTCTACCACTTACCAGTTATGTGACCCTGGACAAGTTTCTTAACGTCTTTGTGCCTCACTTTTCTTGTAAAACCAAGATGACATTAATGCCACCTACATTCAATGCACTTAAAACAGTGCCTGGCTCATAAGAGTAAGCACTAAATGAATGTGGGCTACTATAGTCTAATACCCACAACATACAAAAGCAGAATTTACTAAGAGGTTTTCCCAAGGGCCAGGGTCAGAACTCAACCGTGAACCCAGACCTTCTTGAGGATGACTAACCGCCTCAAGTCAGTGAGAAAGACACATGCCCAGATTATTAAACCATAATTCAACATACAACTTCCCTAACCCAGGAACAGATTGCCTCAGCAAAGATGGAAACAGAATCAGCCTCCAGAACCTCACTGTGACACCTTTCTGGTGATGCCCCAGGCCCTGTATGAGCTAAACAAAACCAACAAGGGTCAGTTCTGCAGAGAGCTTCTGACACTGTACACTTCTGGTGGGAAGACCGAGGTCTGGACCATGACTGTCCATCTAACCCAAGGGGGAGTTTGGGAGGCAGGCAGCAAGACCCTTGTGGGGCCTCTTACTCATTCCATCCTGGAACTTCAACTGCCTGGGGGCAAAGCTGCCCTGCTCACTGCTCACCTTGGCTGCTGTGGTTCTCCAGGCTGACCTTCCAGTCATCACCCCGGGGCTCAGCATGCAGCTCCGCGTGGACCCCAGAGATGAGGCCAGGCTCCTGCTGGGGTAGCAGGGCCACATCACACAGATCGGCTCTGTGGCCCAAGCGATAGGTGCAGCCAGCTCCAGTGGGGGGGTGAAAGGTGTAGAGATCACCACCCCTGCCGCCCCCTATTCGCAGCAGCTGGAAGCAGGGCAGCATGGGCGGTGCCCCCTCTGCACCACTTCTTCCACTTCAGGCATCCGTCACCTCTCCCACTTCTGGGCCATGCACTGCAGGCTTAAGTTCACTTTCCATTCTGATGCAAACTTGAACTGTGCAATTTCAACTTTGACAACACTACCTGAGTAGTGCAAATTCAGAGTGCAAGCAGTCTAGGCACTCAATGCAAAATTTGTTGTTAAGCAGACTTGCAACTGAAAAATCCCAGGAAGGTCTTGTTGCAATGCAAAAACAGGAACAGGAACATGTCCTATGGCACCTCAGCTGAGCTGGATCCTCAGGTAGCAAAATATTCGGAGAGCCTCAGATCTGTACAAGGCAATACTACATTAGGCAGTTTCTGGGAAAATAAAAATTGGAGGGGTGTGTGTGTATGTGCGGAGGGGGTCTGTTATACAGACGTATACGTGCAATACTAACGTATCACCTCTGTATAATTTGGAGACCAGTTTTCTCCTGTCAAACTTGCTTATCCAAATAGAGCAACGCTCCTGCTTGCCTGTGCCCCGTTCTTCTGATCAATCCCTCACTCATAACTAGTTTGGACCCCTAAGGGAAACGAATCCACTGTCATTCCACAAATGACAGTGCAAACGGGTCTTTAAGTGTTCCAACAAAGGGGATCAAACCCCCTGCTTCCCGCCTACTCTGGGTGGGATAAAAACAGAGGAAGGAGCTCTCCGCGATCGTGCAAGGCAAATCCAGCGGTTTCCCTCCCGGTCCAGCCCAGTTTTGGATCTACCCACGCGGTGCAGTCTACGAGTGTTCTCCTCTTCAGGCAGTGCCAGCCTGTGCAGCGGCTCAGGGACCCCTCGGGCTCCTCGGCCGGAGCCGGCGCTCCCGCAGCTGTTTGACAGCCAAGAAGCCGGGGCCAGGAGGGGCGCGGCCTCCGCGCGCGGGCAGCCCCGACCCCTCCTTCCGAATTCCCGGGTCCGAACTTCGCGCCGAGCGGGCCCGCCCCCCGTACCATTCCTGATTGGCCAGATCATTTGTTCTCCTCCGTGCCATTGGACAGCGGGCTACGAGAGACCCGGATCTCCCGCCTCTCGTGTCTTCTGATTAGTTCACAAGTTTTCCCGGGTTCCTGGAGTGGGGAGGAGCCGCCAGGGCGCGTTGAGGCCGGGACTCAGGAACTGGGCACAGCTTTCAAGGCTTCTGCGCCTGCGTGCACCTTCCCCATGCTCCTTCCGGGAAGAAATGGGGCTTTGGAGCGGCCCGCCGACCCGCCCGCCTTGCGCAGGCGCGGTCTGGGGCGGAGGCCGGGCTGGGAGTGAGGTGTAGAGGGTGCAGAGGGGTGCTCTCGCGCTGGGTAAGGGGCGTTCCGGGATAGTCGGTTGGGGGCGGACAGGGGCTGAGAGGGGGTACTGGGGATCTCAGGGGTCTATAGGGGAAGAGGGGTGCAGGGGTCAGGTAAAGGGGTAGATGGGGAGATCAGAACTACCTTGGAGCTCAGGAGACAGAATGAAGTCTCCGGTATCTAGGGAGAGGTAGAGGGAGAACAGAGAGCCGGCTAGAGTGCAGACTATGAGTACAAAGATGCATGTGAGAATGAGGGACCAGAATAATTCCTTCAAGAAAAAAGCATATTAGGATGTAGGAAGGGATGGGGGTACGAATTCCAGATTTGGGTAAAAAAAAATAGGTGGATGAGGGTGGGAGGACGATATTGAAAAGCCCACTATGCATTAGGACTTCGAAAGAAGAATTGGGCAACAGGAATGGACACTGAAGGGACAGTAGAGAGAAACTGAGAGGAAAGCTTCAAGAAAGATTTGGATGAGACGTCAGCAAGCTGGCTTTTCAGCCCCTGGATATAGGCTGCCTGGATTCCGAGGGTCCTGGGGAGGGCCACATTCATCTGGCCAGGCCTTGGGCCAGTACTTTAATAGGGAAGGACCCAGGAGTCATGGCCTGGTGGTGTTTGGATGGCCTTCCCCCAGGCCTTACTGAGCCATGGAAAGAAATCTGGACATTCGGCTCGAGACCTCTGCATCACGTACCTCCTTTCTCACCTCTGGCCAGGAGCAGCAGGGACTATAGAAACTTAAGGAGGAGGGTAAAGTCACTGCCCAGAATCTTTTAAGTATGAGTAAAGCCTAAGAATTTCCTCTTGGCCTGTCTCTCTCAGTAAATTCTCTCCACTTCATGTTTATTGCCTGGGTTCTATCAGGAACTAGGTTGGGACAAGCAAGTGATCTTGGAGAATCTCCTGTTTCTTTTGGGAAGTAGGAAAAGAGGAACTGAGAGTCGGGTGGACCTGGCTGTAATTTAAGGATTACGATTTTGTTATTGTAGGGGCTTTCTCTTTGGAAAGTGGCCTGAAAATTGAATTGGAGTGTCTTTGTTTTTCCTGTTGTCCAGGGGAACATAAATGACTGGAGACAGAATTTAGAGTCTTCAAATAATGTGAAGATGTTTCCATCTTCAGGTCAGTGGGACCAGGCAAGGGGACTGGCGATTGCCTCTGCCTGGGAAACTGACCATCTTTGCCTTTTGTGATTCCTCAGGTTCCACTGGGCTGATTCCCCCCTCCCACTTCCAAGCTCGGCCCCTTTCAGCTGTGCCAAGAATGGCTCCCAACTGGGTCTCAGACATTCCACTGGTCCAACCTCCGACCCATCAAGATGTCTCAGAGAGGCAGCTAGACAACCAGAGACCTCAAGTGGCCACGTGGGAACGGAATGTTTCTGGTGATAGGCAGGAGCCAGGGCGGAGAGGCAGGTAGGGATCCATCATTACTGTTTTCTCAGACTGGTTGCCAGTGACCCTTCTTCACTGAAATAAATTCCTTACCCTATTTCGGCCCTTGGTTTATAACTTACTTTTACATAAGCAATTACTAGTACCTACAATGCATAAATAATAAGGCAGTGTGAGGCTGAGGTGAGTGGATTGCCTGTCCCCACGGGTTCGAGACCTTCCTGGGCAACTTGGTGAGACCTCATCTCTACAATAAATCAAAAAATTAGCTGGACATGGTAGCACATGCCTGTAGTTCCAGCTACTTGGAAGGTTGAGGCAGAAGGATGGCCGGAGCCCAGCAGGTGGAGGCTGCGGTGGCCAGGAGCATGCCACTGCACTCCAGTCTGGGCGACAGAGTGAGATTCCAACTAAAAAAAAATTAAGGCAGTATGCTAGGCAATAGGGATAGGGATAATAATAATGAATAAGGCTGGGCGTGGTGACTCATGCCTATAAATCCAGGACTTTGGGAGACCGAAGTGTGATACTGCATGAGCCCCGGAGTTTGAGACAAGGCCTGGGCAACATAGTGAGTGACACTTCATCTGTACAAAAAATGAAAAAATAAGTTGGGTGTGGTGGTATGTGCTTGTCATCCCAGCTACTCAAGACAGAAGGATAGATAGAGCATTGCCAGATCCAGCAGGTCGAGGCTGCAGTGGCCGAGAGAGGCCACTGCACTCCCGTCTGAGCGACAGAGTGAGACTCCAACTCAAAAAAAAAACAACAAACCTTTTTTACCTCAAAGGCGTTGGTCATGGAAGGCGTTTAAAATTCTTTTTGTTTTGTTTTGTTTTTTTGAGTTGGAGTCTCACTCTGTCGCTCAGACGGGAGTGCAGTGTCGCTCCCGGCCACCGCAGCCTCGCCTGCTGGGCTCCGGC